AATTTTTATTTTTCATTTTAAAAGGCCAAAGTTCTATTGATTAATTGACACCACTAAACATTTGCATTTCATTTAATCATTTCAGTTAACTTGAAGAAAAAAAAGAAAAAACCGTGGACAGAAGAACAGAATCTTGTGCTAAAGGATAATTTTTCTTCTTATCTTAAACATGAAAACATTGCAGTACGTAATGAGGACATCAGAAATATGTTAGCCAAATTTAAGTGTTTGAATGGACGCACACTTCCGCAGATCAGATCCAAATTAAATAATATGAAACTCGGCAAATGTAAATGATAACTTTTCATGTTAACGGATTTATTGCCTTTTGATAGAGAGTGCATAAGGAAGCCTTTTAGACTGGAAATTAAGTTTTGTAGTGAAAATTTAAAATATACTATTTCTGGCTTGAAATTTAACATTTTGTTCATACACATCTTGTAATGGTATCTGTTTCCTTCAAGTGTTAAAAAAGATAAAAAAAAATCATGTTATTGTAATTTGTTACCCTCTTCCATCATGCATAGATGTCCAGCTGTTTTGTTGAAATTGTCACAAGAAAGATGAAATAAGACCATGTTTGGTTTTTAAAAGCAAAATTTGGCATTAACAATTGTGGTAATGGTACATTCTTGAGATCAAAGGGCAAAGCATTTGCGATTGAAATTGCAATATTGCATTGAAATCAATGTGAAAGTAAATATTATTGTACAGCAATTGGAGGTGACTACAGGCTCTGTATACAGCCTAGCCTCTTCACTACCCAAAGCCTACAATAGATTAAGATTCTCCACTAGCTTTGGTTGACTATATGGACTCTGAAAGGTTTGGCAAACGCAGTTGCAGATTGGCATTTGATGCTCAGCCCAGCAATGTCCAAAATGGTGCAAGATACCAATGTTTTTATTTGTTAGTCTTACAAGGCAACCACCTCCCACGTGTTCGTTTGCAAAAAGAAAGAATACAGAGGGACATTAACTTCATTAATTACCTCATGCGTGGGTAGATAGTAACAAGACTGTAGATAAATTGATCTCCTAATCTTCTTGCTGGGCTGTGAAGGGAGAGAGTATTATCCCATTGTGGTCAAAGGGGGGTAATATTAAGCCATTGTGGTCTTTTTTATTTAAGATAAGAGGATATCACAGATTATTCTTGATATTGTTGTGGGATATATATTTTTTTTGGGGGGGATAAGCTTATGCGATATACAGGCATATAATTTATATATATATATAGCCCTTACTCTTTTAAGGGTCATATACGATAATATAGCCCACATACTCTTTTAAGGGTCATATACGATAATATAGCCCACATACTCTTTTAAGGGTCATATACGATAATATAGCCCACAAACAATATTGTGGGGTATATTATCTTATAGGTCCCTTAAAAGAATAAGGGTTATATATATATATAAATTATATGCCCCTTAGAAATGAAACCCCACATGACAGGTCAAAAATCAAGGTGCAATTTCAGTATATGTATAACTGATATGTATATAACTATACAACTGATATGTATATAACTATACAACTGATATGTATATAACTATACAACTGATATGTATATAACTATACAACTGATATGTATATAACTATACAACTGATATGTATATAACTATACAACTGATATGTATAGAACTATACAACTGATATGTATATAACTATACAACTAATATGTATATAACTATACAACTGATATGTATATAACTATACAACTGATATGTATATAACTATACAACTGATATGTATATAACTATACAACTGATATGTATATAACTATACAACTGATATGTATATAACTATACAACTGATATGTATATAACTATACAACTGATATGTATATAACTATACAACTAATATGTATATAACTATACAACTGATTCTGGCACTATACTCTGTTCTGATAGAGATAAAGCAATTACAAGTACAGGTAGGAATATGGATGTTGTCAGAAAATATCTGAGTTATTAGCATTAAAATACAAGTGACCTTACCCTCATAATAAAACGAAAAGGTTTGTTCAGGAAATCTTCTTTTGGTAGTAATAAAAATAATAATACATCACTTAGATTTTGTAAATATTCTGAAAAATAAAATGAAGGCAATGAAATATTGGTATAAAAACATAAAATGTGAATCTTATACTATACAGAAGTTATTACATGCCTTCCTGATTTAGAAATAAATCTTAAAATTTGTGAAAATCTTTCCTTTCCATTAATTAACATTATTGTTACAAGGTGGAATATTTTGAAAAAATTTGAAGAACATACAAACAATCTGTCAAGCCAGAACTTGAACTTCCTGGACAAAGACAATATATGTCCCAATCACAATGTGTGTATCATAATCTAACTTTTCTCACCTCTTTCTTTATCAGGATCCAAACAAATTAAATCACGGCACATACTCTCTTCCATCTCAACTTCTAAATCAAAAAACAATTCTTCTATATCACAGCATTCTCTTTCTATAAAAACATAATCAGATTAAATTAAATTATTATTCACACTAATATTTAACTAATAAGTAGTACAAATGACTACAAAACAGGACTATTGCTAAAAATCACCAGCAAGAAGTAGAAAGGTGACAAAGCGAGGAACAAGAGAGAGAGGGTAAAAAGACAAGGAAAAGGGTATGAAAGCGCTGAAAAATGTCCCAGCTTTCTCCTCGCCTCTTTCCTTGCTTAAAATTATAGACAACATACATTTTCTTACGAGTTTTCTGAATTGGTACTTGCATGCTTTAAATGCATGTATTTATTGTCTGCCTCGTATGTCTGTCTTATTTTGTTTTTTTATTGGTAATCGATCTAGATTCCGATTCTGCTACTTAGAATCATGTGTAAACACAAGCCACAAATAAAACTAATTTCTTTATTTAAAAAATAAGCTCTTGTGATATAAACTCCTGTGATCTCAGATCTTATATATAGAATATACTATACTTTCTATCAGTTCTGATCGAATAAAAATTAACTCTTTATTTTACATAGGTCAGAATTAGGCCCAATACACAAGGACATGGTCCTGTCTAACATTCAGCCCATGGGGATAATACAGTGAATGAGTGAATGGAAAAAAAAACGTGTTCACTGTTCACACTTGAGGTGTCTGCTGCTAATTTTAAAATTAAATGCACATGGGGAGGCAGTCACATGATGTGTATATGACCGCTGATTTGTTAAAGACTGATAACTGATTTAAATATTGCCAACCTTTTTTTGGAAGATGAAACATGCAGCTAAAAATTTTCATTTTCAACGTCAAGCCATCCAGATGATCAAACCTTTGTCCAAGAACACAGTCATACAATTTGGCAAATAGAAGTTTCATTTTGGCGTATGTTTACACATGATACCTCCAGAATCTGTACATGACTGTCTCACTCGCTTCTTTTTTTTATACAACCGCATTATAATGTGTAAACATTCACAAAAATAATCTGCTATAGAAAAAAATAAATGGTGTGATCATTTATTATGATGAGATCTTCGTCAAGTTAGAATTTGAAAATTTTTCAATGAATGAGTTATTGCCCTTGACTCAGTAAAAATGCATCAAAATTTGTTTGTGAACACAATAGTAATTACAGTTTTCATCTGATTTGAATGAAATCTGGTGTGATCATTTATTACAATGAGATCTTGGTCAAGTTTGAATTTGATGATTTTTCGGTTTATTTGTTTGCAGTTTATATCCAAATTTTATGAAATTTTGTGAGTTTGATTAAATCAACAATATCTTGTAAAAATTAGGTTTTTGGTATGATTTGACACAGATTGGTGACCGCCCTTGATATACTGAAAATTTATCAGGGAAGTGAGCGTATGTTGCTAGGCAACCACTTGTTAGACATGTTTAAAGTTTTATTTCACAATCAAAGATAGCCTTGCAAAGCGGGGTGACATACACCACCAGCAGCTTTGATTGCAAGTACAAATCATTGTTTGTAGCCTGTACAGTGAGCATGAACCAATTGTACCAATTATGCTTCCATAGTACGTGTGGGCATATAAAAATTATAAGAATCCATAAAGAATTGTTGCCTGAAGAGTGAGCATGAGTTATACTATATAGCTAATAGTAACAATGCAAACGGAAAATAGAAATAATGAAAATAAAATAATTTTGTTTTTGTAGATGGGTTATGGTGCACTAGTAGTTGGAAAAAGTGAAAACAGAAACAAAATATATTGAAAAATAAAAAAGTTATGTCTTTAAAAAGTGGGCGTGGCAAATGAAAATTTTTCTCTTTTTCGTTGAAATACAACCGATCGCATAACTTGCTCATTTTTGATGATAACATCATGAAATTTTACATTTTATAAGTGATATACAGAACAAGTTATTAGAAGATTAAAACTATTTTATAACACATGTGACTTAATTATAATTTAATTTAAAGACAATATGTAATTTCATAACATAATGAGTTCCTACATTCCAAAACCTGAATTGGTAAAACACACACATAGGATAGGTCTACCAAATAATGATAAAGTGAAAGTAGACCTTCTGATCAAATAATTGAAATAATATGAAATTATCCGCTCAAAATATAGCTTAAGACTAGAGTCAAGATAATAGAGTTAAGATACTAGAGTCAAGATACTAGAGTTAAGATACTAGAGTTAAGATACTAGAGTCAAGATACTAGCGTCAAGATACTAGCGTCAAGATACTAGAGTTAAGATACTAGAGTCAAGATAATAGAGTTAAGATACTAGAGATACTAGAGTCAAGATACTAGAGTCAAGATACTAGAGTCAAGATAATAGAGTTAAGATACTAGAGTCAAGATACTAGAGTTAAGATACTAGAGTTAAGATACTAAAGTCAAGATACTAGAGTTAAGATACTAGAGTTAAGATACTAAAGTCAAGATACTAGAGATACTAGAGTTAGGATACTAGAGTTAAGATACTAAAGTCAAGATACTAGAGATACTAGAGTTAAGATACTAGAGTTAAGATACTAGAGATACTAGAGTTAAGATACTAGAGTTAAGATACTAGAGTTAAGATACTAGAGATACTAGAGTTAAGATACTAGAGTTAAGATACTAGAGATACTAGAGTCAAGATACTAGAGATACTAGAGTTAAGATACTAGAGTTAAGATACTAGAGATACTAGAGTTAAGATACTAGAGTTAAGATACTAGAGTCAAGATACTAGAGTCAAGATACTAGAGATACTAGAGTTAAGATACTAGAGTTAAGATACTAGAGATACTAGAGTCAAGATACTAGAGATACTAGAGTTAAGATACTAGAGTTAAGATACTAAAGTCAAGATACTAGAGATACTAGAGTTAAGATACTAGAGTTAAGATACTAGAGATACTAGAGTTCAGATACTAGAGATACTAGAGTTAAGATACTAGAGTTAAGATACTAGAGATACTAGAGTTAAGATACTAGAGTTAAGATACTAGAGTCAAGATACTAGAGTCAAGATACTAGAGTTAAGATACTAGAGTCAAGATACTAGAGTCAAGATAATAGAGTTAAGATACTAGAGATACTAAAGTCAAGATACTAGAGTCAAGATACTAGAGTTAAGATACTAGAGTTAAGATACTAGAGTTAAGATACTAAAGTCAAGATACTAGAGTCAAGATACTAGAGTTAAGATACTAGAGATACTAGAGTTAAGATACTAGAGTTAAGATACTAAAGTCAAGATACTAGAGTCAAGATACTAGAGTTAAGATACTAGAGATACTAGAGTTAAGATACTAGAGTCAAGATACTAGAGTTAAGATACTAGAGTCAAGATACTAGAGTCAAGATAATAGAGTTAAGATACTAGAGTCAAGATACTAGAGATACTAGAGTTAAGATACTAGAGATACTAGAGTTAAGATACTAGAGTCAAGATACTAGAGTCAAGATAATAGAGTTAAGATACTAGAGTCAAGATACTAGAGATACTAGAGTTAAGATACTAGAGATACTAGAGATACTAGAGTTAAGATACTAGAGTCAAGATACTAAAGTCAAGATACTAGAGTCAAGATACTAGAGTTAAGATACTAGAGTTAAGATACTAGAGATACTAGAGTCAAGATACTAGAGTCAAGATACTAGAGTTAAGATACTAGAGATACTTGAGTTAAGATACTAGAGTCAAGATACTAGAGTCAAGAAACTAGAGTAAAGAAACTAGAGTCATGATACTAGAGTCAGGATACTAGAGTCAAGATTACTCTTTGTAGTCAGGCTTACCTTCAGGTGGAAGTTTTTTCTTTTTATCTACAGCTCTTCTATATAAACGGATATGTGAACCAAAATCATCAACTAGTCTTTGAGTAAAATAGGGCATCCAATCAATCTCTTTTGTTCTGAAATGATAAATTACTTGATGTTGATTATTTGAATAGCACTGCTTTTTTGGTCAAATTTGCAAAAACAATACATAAAAATCTAGAGATTCCTTTAATGTTTCTGTTTAAAAGTTCATGTAAGATTGTGTAAAGTTTTTCATAAGTTGTTAGAACTACTGTACGAATATAAGCATAAAAACACCTGATTTTAGAGAAATGAAACTTTTATTGGAAAGGGATTTATCGGATGAATGGTTGTGGACAGAGTCTATGTCACAACACAGAAGTGTTATCTCCCCTTCATCTGGGTTCCTGAAGAAAAAAGCACCATTGTTTTTAGTTAAAAAATTAGTTAGTTCAAAGCCTTTCCAGTAAATAATTCAGTTAAATACATTCCTACTGGGTTTCCTTCATTATTAAGGTCTTTATTTCCGTAAACATTCATAGACACAGACTAATACCTGGAACAAACAAAAGGTTTGTTTACATGTACAGTAGTGTTATTATTGTTTACATGTACAGTAGTGTTATTATTGTTTACATGTACAGTAGTGTTATTATTGTTTACATGTACAGTAGTGTTATTATTGTTTACATGTACAGTAGTGTTATTATTGTTTACTGTGTCTGTTAGTGGCTACTAATTTTTCTGCAGACTTGAAGTGTTCAGAATGGAAGCACAACGTATTCGTAGAGTTTTGATTTTAAGTAGTTCACACGTGAATCGTTTGAATATTCATCTCAAGTAAAAAAAATAACAATTTGCAACCAAATTTTGGTCGAGATTCCCCTATCTATTCTATGTGGCTTTCTTTGGAATAGGGGGTGGTACAATCAACAATAATAATCTGTGTAACCAGTTTGTAGAGGAAGCACAATATTTTAAACCTAATCATGTTATAATATTCATTGGTGGAAATGATTTGGATACTATGAATGCTATTAGTGCAGATTTGGCTAATTAAGGCTGATTTATCTCTCTTGTGCGACAGATTAGTCGAAGAAGTGCAGAGATATGCCCAACACTGCACTCAGGTTTTAATTCTGCAATTAATTCATAGAACTAAAGTTAGAAATGGTTCAGTGTGGAATTACAACAACAATGTGATTTCTTTCAACATGAATGAAGTTGATTAGAAGAAAAAGTTCTCTGTAGACTGTGGTGAGTGTGACTGTCATTCACCAATAGGCCAATTCTAGAAAGTCAAAAGTAATGATAGTTTAAGATAACATAATGAATAAGTATAATCTAGTAAGTTTGCTTTGTATAGAAACACATTCCTTTTCCGAAATTTAAACCCAAAGGCAAAGTAGCCCAACAACTTCAAATAAGGGATCAAGCCTCCAACCCACTGATCCATCTTAGACTCTAAGAATTTCTTAATAGTAAATGTGCTTGTATTTGTGGTGAACTTACAAAAATTTAGAAACTAGTCTTTTCTTTATATATAGGCTTGAAAGTTATGACCGAAATCATAATTTTCTAGGACCAGTTGTCAGTTTACCTCAGCAGGATGGTTTAATGTGGCCGACCACTGGATTTTCATCACTAGTGGTAGATAACAGAGGAAATCTTCCTAAAATCACCATAGAGAAAAGTGAAGTTTATTTACTGTATAGAATGGTAGGTATGTAAGTTACAAATTTTACTACTGGCATTTTAACATACAATACGGTACATAGTTTTGTATGTTCTTCTTAATTCAGTCAAATATCAACCTCTGTCTAAGCTCAGAAAAAAAATTCATAGAATTTATCATGGCATATCAGATTGTTGAGGCCATCATTATTCCCTATTTAGAGATCAGTCTTGCCTAAGCTAATTCCTATCTGTTTTCCAATGTCTCTTTGTTTCTTTTACAGCTGACAGAGAGATCTGTAGGGATATCAAATCTTTCAATCCACTAATTATTTGGATTAAAATTTATATACATATTTTCTGGAGGTTAAAATTACAAGTAAGTCTGTCTTATTTACTGTTTGGATACAGGCATCTACATAAAACACAATTTCATGTTAAAATTTATATTTGAGATACTTCTGCCATGTATATTTTCTATCACTGTTATTTTGTAGATTCAAGGGAAGTATCAACTTGTTATAATACCTTGCTGTTAATAGACACTTTTCTTGTTCAACAAACTTTGTAAATTTTGGTTAGATTTGATTTTACGCCAGCAAACAATCCAATCAAATAACAATCATTTACAGACTTTGGTGTGTATTAATGGTAAAGTCTTAGAACACGATCAGTATGCCCTGACATTGTGAAAGCAATACCTAACTTTACCCTTGAGAGGGTCTGAAATTAGATATGGAAAAACAGATAAATACAATCCTTAATCCTAGTTTCAGTTTACTGGCTAGGAGAGGTGTGCAAATGACTTGAAAAAGAAAGGATCTATACCAAGTTTAGTTTACACACAAAATAATCATTCATTATCATTGTTCTGGCTTAAAATGGGATTTTGTACACAATTCCTTTCACGAAAGTTAAGTGCTGTAACTGTTTCAAAATAACCAACGAAAGAATAATTAAAAATATCAACAGTAAGAAGATATAAATTGACGTATCCGACCTAATAATGTCTGTTTATAATCTTCTGCAATGAAATGTTTCTTGCAGACGACGGAGTCATCGCACGGCTTCCACAACTTCTTTGTCCTTGGGTCCATTCTTTTTATAGCTACCCGCCATTTCAGTTTAAATTTCTCTTCCTTAGAAAATTTATGGCCACCAGATTGGTTGCAGTGGGGTACATGACAATATTTCGTCATATTTTTACTCTAGGCCTATATTGACACTAGCAGTCCGCCATGTTGGAATCCCCCTTAGTACCAAGTAGGTAAAAAATCCGCGGTGGGCCCCATTGATGACATCTATTGCAGGTCCAGTTGAGGTCAAATGGCATACTCACTTTAGGCAGATTGCCTACAATACTTAAAGTCAAGTTAAATTAAGTTATGTTACTAATTACAAATGTTGTATTATAGGGCATATTGCCCACTCATTTTAGGGCATATTGCCTACTCACTTTAGGACATTGCCCACTCACTATAGGGCATATTGCTCACTCACTTTAGGGCATATTGCCCCCTGACTTTAAGCAGATTGCCCACTCACTTTAGGACATATTGCCCACTCACTATAGGGCATATTGCCCACTCACTTTAGGCAAACTGCTCATTCAGTTTAGTCATATTGCCTACAATACTTAATTCAACTAAATATTAGTATTGTAGCTACTTACAACTATTCAAAAAGATATCACATTTATATTTGCCTTTCTTTCACAGAATTATGGCAGAGAGAAGGAAAGCAGTAAACCTTAAGTCATTGGCAGGAAAACGATCCATTAAGATTGCGAGTCATCCTGCCAAACGTGTAAAGTCAGCCTCCATTCTGCCACAGAGACATTACAGAGGCCATCTACTTTTAAAGGGCCTTAGTGCTAATGCTGAACAGGAATTGAGCGTTCAAGTTAATGCGGCCATTCATAAAGCTGTAGCAATAGCAGTGCAATAGGTGATTCCTGAGATTGCAAAATCGGTTGTGTCGGCTTTGAAGTGGGATCAAACATGTAATGATAGCGAGGCTGAAGAGGATGCTACCTCTGATACTGAACAGATTGCTGCCACTACTGTAGACACGTTAAATGATGAAGGTATGACAGATATTGATTTATCTACCTATAATTCTGATTCTGATTCGAAACATTTTGACATTGAAAAACCATTAGATTTGGGTGTTGATAATAAAATCAAGAAGAGAATTTGGGCTGACAAGTATATGGATTTAAGTCATCTTTATATGGTTTTAATTACTAATAATTTTGATAAAAAAAAAAAAATTTTTGCTCATATTCAGATGGATAAAGGATTCACGTTTTGAGAAACAATCGAAACCATAATTCAATGGATCCAAGCATTTCATTGGTTCATGCATGTGTAATCTACCGATGTTGTCGGGTTTCTACCGCTTTTGCATGTTGTCTACTGATCTGCTCATCCATTTAGAGGAGTCTTTATTCCCCCCCTCCCTTACATTCAGACATTTTCTAGATACGCCTGTGCTAATAGGTACATTTTTTTTTTTATAGTTGCTGACCATATGACAGAACTTCACAGACAAATGTTTCCAAACTCAGATATCCCTAAAAAATGTTCGGCTAAGAGGAACAAAACTACAAAGATGATTACAGATGCCTTAGCACCGCACTGCGACAAGAGCGTAACAGAATTGACCAAGCGCAATAAGTTTTCAATAATGGTAGACAAATCGAACGACCACAATCACTACAAAATGGTGTCCATTCTGATTGGAGTTTATGATGAGTCCATAATGAAAGTAACCACCAGATTTTTGGATATGCCTATCCGGGGAGAAAATATTTTCAACTGTATCGATAAGGTGATGACGTAAAAAGTTTTAGTATTAATATTTCGATCGCGGGTGCCTGGAAAAACGAGTCTACACAATTTTCGAGAAATACGACAAATTTGATGTTTTTTAATTGAATTTAATGTTATTCAATTTTAATTTAATTCAGAATGACAACTAATTGGTTTTAAGCGATTTCTTGTAGGTCAAAAATGTTGTTGGATACAGCAGTGACAATGCATCTGTAATGATCAGTAAGAAGAACTCAGTCTTGTCTTGAATTCAAGAACAACAGCCTGACGTGTTTTATTTAGGCTGTCTTTGTCATCTAGCCAACAATCAATGAAGAAATTGCCACTGAACATTGAAGAGGTACTTGTAGATATTTTTTATCACTTCAACAGCAGGTAACATTTCTGTTTTTTTTATGTCATGTTTCCTATGCCTCTTACTATTTTTAATGATGGTATAGCCCTATAGACCTATAAATATTTGCAAATCTATGTATGCATTGAAAAAAGAAAACACACAATATTAAGTTATTAAGCTAACTCATTAACTATAGCTTTGTCTAAACTATTTTTCTATATTTTCAGTTGTAAAAGAAAAGAACAGTACAATGACTTCCTGGAGTTTACTCAAACTGAGCCATTGAAAATCATCAAACATTGTGCTACTAGATGGTTATCTTTGGAGAAAGTAATTAAAAGAACTCTTCAGCAATGGGCAGCCTTATCCTCGTATTTCAATAGCGCTGAAGATGTTGATCAGCCAGGAAGAGTGCAGAGAGTAGCTCAAAACCTGACCAACATAGAGATGCAAGTTTATGGTTTGTTTTTGGAGTTTATTCTACCACACCTGAACCAGTTCAACACCATGTTTCAGGCAAGTGCCATTTCATTGTTCCATGTTTTCAAGATATTTCAAAGATACATGATCATTATTGTGTTAGTATTTTTCTCTGGCTCAATCAATTCAAGGTCATTCAAATTTTAATTTACTGAAATAAGATTTATAAATTGATTTTATTTCAGTCTGAAAGTTGTTTAATTGTCGATATGGTGGGACAGACATTTTGTTAAAGACAAGTTTTTAAAGATTACTTCAGTAAAATCAGCAGAAGATGTCACTCAAGTTGATTATATCAATAAAGATAATTACCTGCCAGTGAATTTTTTAGCTATAGGAATGAAGGCCAGAACTGTTTTAGCTGATAATCAAGATAATCTTGAACCATCAACACATCACAGAATTTACAGGTAACATCTGATTTTCATTGTGGATATCATTGTTATATTCATTTTGATAGACCTGAGTTGACATTATTTTAAATGGCATTTTTGGAATTATTTTTACAGTGTAATGTTTTAATATTTTATAGCTTCATAAGAGAATTTTATGCTACTATGATAAAGAATATGGTAAATAAATTTCCATTTGATAATGATTTGCTAAATGGCATTTCATTTGTACACCCTGGAAATAAAGAAGCCTCTTCATTTGAAAATTTTATTATTCATAAAAATCCATTCATTTGCTTAAAAGTCTATAAGTAACACTGGTATGTCAGGAGCATTAAATTTATTAAACTGAACTTCTAATTCAGTGTAAAATATCATATTACATATAAAGACAGGATCCAGAATAAAAACCAGGGATTTCTGTGAATGATGAATAAACATAGACATTATCATATTTATTTATATTTTAGATTTTCTTTCATGTATATGTCATATTTGTTATGTTTTTCTTATGTATATATATTTGTTAATTTTTACTGTGTCAAATAATTAATAACTCGTAAGTCAAATTTTGAGCTTAAAATCCTCGAATTTTCGCGCTTTGAAAAAATCTCCCTTCTTTCACCCTATTCACTACTTATTGTATTTATATTATAGAAGCACAACAGTACCCAGAATAGAATGTACTTGATATTTTCAACTATTTATACTGTAAGACATTTATACCATTTCTTTTGATATACGACAGCGGTTATCACTGTCCTTAATATTTTTCATTTAAGTTTCTACCTTGAAGGCTTATAGTTATCTTGGTTATTTTCACGTAGGATAGGAACGCACGTGGTCCTCATTCGAGTTCTATGACCCGAAAGTGATATCTGTAGGTTTTTTATTATTTCACATTTTAAATCTTTTATATTTTCGGCACTTATATTTCACGTAGGATAGGTTTGCACGTAGCTCCTTTTGCTATAAAAAGTGAAAATCGAGCACACAAGCATATTGTTTAGTACATATTTACTATTGTTCGATATTCCCTCCATCCAGAGAAGTTATTTTAGATTTCTCATGGCGGGAGTAGGGAAATCAATATATGTAGGAAGTAAAATAGCTGATCGAAATAGTACACCCATGACATTATATCAAATATTAAGCCTAGGAAAGTTAAGTCCGGTGAAATTATAGGACTTTAAATCCCTGACCCATTGTCTGACTTAGATAAATTAACGTTAAATACACACACCCTCAGGTAATGCAGCAATCAGATAGACGCATGGACGAAATGTTTCAAGTGATGCAAAACATATCAAAATGGATCAATTAGAGGACAAGTCAAATTCTAAGGTAGACTTGCCAGTTTTGCCCACATTGGCTACTAATAGACTGACCACACCTAAACAAGACTCAGACTACATCATACCTAGGAATTTGAAAGATACGCCAACCGCTGTAAAAACAGAGCTAAAACGTTACGAACAAGCTATACTCAATGAAACTAAGTCGACAAAAATCCACGACAAATTGGCTTCTCGTAAGTAAGGCCAACCAACTGAAATGGACACGGATGATACAGACGAGACAAGAAAAAAAACATAAGTGATAAATATATACATTCTTCAGAAAGTGATTAAACCGACAAAATTAGATCCACTAGTTATTACAATGGATACAGAAACAAAACTTAATTCAGCTGTATGTAGCTGAAACATTTCTACATTTATCTAGGAAAAAATGAAAACAACGTGAAATTGGATCATGCCAATACAGAGACACAGATTCAACATCTAATGCAAGTTCGGAGTCGGAGTCTGATAATTTACGTAGACGACGGGGAAACAGACGAAGGCATCATAGCCGCAGTCCTCCGAAACCTAAAATGCCAACCTTTTCCGGTGACCCTAAAACAAAATGGGAACCCTTTATACTACAATTTGAAAGAATCGCACGGCATGAAGAATGGTCAAGTAGGAAAAGACTGGACCGACTACTTGACTGTCTAAGGAATTCCGCTCTTGAATATTCAGACAAGCTCTCTTCTGATCTCTCATATATAGAATTCAAGAAAGAATTGAATTTTCGATTTAGCGAGAAAGAAGAACCTGTTTCTGCTAGACCTGAGTTACAATCACTACGCCAACTAGAAACAGAATCTCTTCCAGACTTTGCTCAACGTATCCAAACTTTGGCCATGGACGGTTATTCAGACGCTAACAGTAAAATTAGGAACGATTTTTGGAAAAGAATCCAAAATCAGTTCAGGACGCATTGAAACACATGAGACTATTTTTAGCCAATCAGAAAAGTTTATTCGGATCCAAAAACTTTTCGCATGGACAGGTAAATTTTAAATCTGAGTCTGATACCGAATCGGTTAAAGTTAACACCAGTGACCTTAACGTTGATGCTACATCCAATAAGTTGGAAAAAATTGATTCAATGATTAACAAACAGCTAAATTCCATAGTAGACAAGCTGACTGAGTTATCCAAAAAGAAAGTTAACAAAAATAGAAGTGACATTCCTACTGACAGATATAATTCAAGATACGACCGCAATGACGAATACGGGGAGGCCAACAAACGCTACCCTACATATTTTGACAGAGACAGATCCCGATATGACGGACGCACATGGACGAATATAGATATGATAAGCCGATACGTAACCATGAACAATCTTGCAGTTACGAACACTATAATGACAGACGAGAACGAGACCGTGAACAGCCTCAACGATATAACAATAGGTATTCAAATAATTATGATCAAGACTATAGATTAAGACGCAGTGACAAGACAGAGTCGGAAACTGAACATTCTCAGTCTGACTCCGGACGAAATCGAAATCAGGTAAGTAGGAAAAAGAACTCTTCATCGATTCATGATGCCAGGCCTGATACCAAACATATAAGTAGTTCAAGATCAAATGACACCTCTCCAGATGCTAGGATAAGACTGTCAAGACAGTTGAATTTAATTTTACCTGTAATAAAACTTTCAGCGCAGTTGTCGACACAGCAGCAATGCTTACCTTAGTTAACAAAAATGTCTGTAAAACGTATAATGGACGTTTGACTTTTAAAGAAATAATTAATTATCTGGATTAGGTGAGAAACCGGTGTATGTTCAACGCGTTGTAGGAATGACAATTAAGCTAGGTAGTAAATATTTTGACTGGGACATGTATATGGTCACAATGACCGATGATATAATATTGGGTTTAGATTTTTTGGCGCATCATAAATGTATAATAAATATCGATCGTCCTTCTGTACAAATCGGCAATGACATAATTTATGCTGATTTACAATCTTACAGTAATAAAGACGATTTATCTGAAGTATTAGTCAGTAAACGGGTAACGATTCCACCAAATTCAGTAAGTTTATGTCGAGCAGAAAAATCAATGGAGACTTTGTGACTGAACCTAATCCTCATAGTAATAAGGGTTTGTTGGTTTCATCAACACTAGGAAAATCCGGGTACACAATACTTTGGGTGATAAATGACTCTGATTCATTCAAAACATTAAGGAAAGGACATCATATTGGAAACGCAGAAAAGATAGTGGAAAAGATAAATCAGATTCCCTGAGCAACAAGACTTCGAAAGACTCAGGCTTCTCTATTGGGCCATAAGTCCAAAATCATTCATCCAATTATTACCGTTTTTATATTCCACATTAATAATGTGGACGTATATTGTTGTCACCCATGTCCGTCTGTCTGACGGTCTGTCTGTCCTCAATTGGCTTCTGATTCAAATGAAATTTGGTGTGATCATTTATATTGATGAAATCTTGGACAAGTACAATATTAACGATTTTTCGATGAACGGTTTTTGAGTTATTGCCCTTGACTTAGCAAAAGCGCGTCAAAATTTGGTCGTGAACACAATAGAGACTACAGTTTTCATCCAATTTAAATGAAATTTGGTGTGAATATTTATAATGATGAGATCTTGGACAAGTTTGCGTCAATAATTGTTTGTGAACACAATAGAGGGTACAGTTTTCATCCTTGATTGACAGCTAAATGTTTCAACTTCAAGGGAGGTAATTATGGAGAGAAAATATATAAAATGAAAGTACAAGATATAGGTCAAACACACTTAACAGGAGGTTATTGGATAGAAAACTTACATTTTTCTGAATTTAAGTTCGTTTTTTACAAGAGATTAACTGTAAACATTTAAAACTTTCTTGATTTTGGTCAGAAATTCAAAACATACTTCAAAAGAATAACTGACAAATGTTTTAATAGAATATAGGTCAGAATTATCTTGCTTAGATTAAGGAAGATTGTTGTATAGTCAATTCATGTGTTATATTATGGCATGTATTTCCTTCCATACATTGTTATGTAAACTCTAGTTAGAGTGATCTCCCTTTGTTGTTAGAATGTAGACCAAGAAGAGAAAACCACGTTTATTTTGAAACTGCCTTTTGTTATGCTTTCTTCCCATCTTACAAGTACAAATACTATTCAATTATGTATCGAAAGTCCCGATACAACAAAGATAACTATGGTTCAATTTCTAAATGTAAACAAAGAAGTACTGTTAGTAGATATTTGAATTGATGATTAATTTAACACTCATAACAGGTAATTAAGGGATTATCAGATTATCAGGTTGGTAATCAAGTTATTGTAATATCAAGCAGTGATTAATGGCTTTATATTTCATTAGACTAGAGTTGTCATTAAATTTTGCATTTGACTGACATTAAAAGCCATGTAAAGGCTAACCTATACTTTCAGCAGCCCTGTCGGTCATGTCCGGCATATAGAGCCAAATCAACATCCCTGATAAGATCTTAATCAAAATGAAATTTGACAATTTTTCGATCAATGGAATTTGAGTTATTGCCCTTGACTAAAAAACTCATCAAAATTTGTCGGTGAGAGGTGACAGTTTATGTCAAAATTTTATTAAATAATGTGTGTTTGTTTAAATCACCAATATCTTGCACAAATTAGATTTTTGGTATGATTTGACACAAGTGGGCGTAACTTGCTAGGCAACCACTTGTTAAACTTGAGATATCATCAATATATACATGCATACCAAGTTTAATCAAGATCAGATAATCAAAAGAACCTGTAAAGAATTGTCGCCTGTGGATTGAATACGAGTTGCACAATATAGCTACTAGAGTGAAACGTCAAGTCAGACACGATATTTCAGTGAAAAATTATCCGATCATCACGAAAATCAATAGGGATCATCTTCATAATGATATTGACAAACAAAATCAAAAGAATCTGTAAAGAATTGTAGCCTGTTAAGTGAGCACGAACCAAATGTGAACGGATGGACGGACTGACCGACCTGGCGGACCGACGAACAGACAGGGTGATTACAATATACGCCCATCTTATGTGTGGGCGTATAAAAATGTTTAAGGTCAATTAGCTCGTTGGCTTGAAGAGTTGTCTCAATATGACATGATAATCCTTCATCGGTCAGGTACGAACATACCAATGCTGATGAATTATCTCCCTTGGATGACCCATTAATCAATTGTAACTGTTATTATGCCCGGTGTAATTTAAATGACTTGCCTTGCGGTGGATGTCCGTAATTGCAGCAGAGCTCATATTCAATGGGAGCGCTTCTGCGAGGACGTTGACAACGTTATTCCTCTCGCATCTAATAATGTTATGATTGACGTACTAATTAGGCTTACAAGATTAAACGACATTACCCGAGACTCTCGCAATTGCTCCCATGCTAATGCTGAACAATTATCTCCAACGTACGAAAACTCGAACTGGTTGGAGAGTTATACTGCACATGATATGATACTTGGTCCATTTATGACTAGTAGTAAAGGCAAAAATACACTCTCATGATAATAGATCAATTTACAAAATGGTTAGAAATTATTCCCTTGCCAGATCAGTCGGCAGAAAAGGTCGCAGGGAATTTGGTAATGAAGTTCATTTGTACTTTCGGTTGTCTGCTTCAAATTCACTCTGATCAAGGGGCCGACTTTGAGAGCAATCTCTTTAAGTTAGTATGCTCCTTGCTGGAAATTTCAAAAACTAGGACAACACCTTATCATCCTTCCTCTAACTGTCAGGTGAAACGGTATGACAGGACTGTTCTTCAAATGATTAGATGTTATATAGACGGAAAGGGTCCAGATTGGGATGATAATCTCGCCCTAATTTCAATGGCTTTACATTCCGTAGAAAATCAACAAACTGGTTTCGCTCAAAATTTGATGATGCTTAGACGTGAAGTTGCTCAACCATTAAATCTCTTATTGGGAACTTCTGATGCTAAGAAGTTCGCTTCGTCTTAATGGGTGTTGGAGCTTAGAAAAACTTTACAAGAAGTACACGAGTTGGCACGAACACATTTAAGGCAATGTCAAATAAGGCAAAAGTGGGATTACGATGTCTCTCTTCATGAGAATCTGTTCAATGGTAGAGACATTGTCTACCAAGTTGATTCTTCAACAAGAATAGGGAACAGCAAGAAATTAATGCCACCATGGAAGGGTCCTTACCCACTTACCCAAGGCTTCTCATCCTCTCTATGAGTTAACCAATCAAAAGAAGAGCAAAATGATTCACCATGATCATTTGAAATTATGCAATGATGACCCAATTCCATTGTAGTTAAAATGATTAAGACACAAATGCTTATCCGAACCTATTGTCCAGGAAGAGGCAGAAGAAGCTCCTTCAGTGAATAATTCCCCTGAAGAACGAAATGCTTCTTTGAGTAACCCTGATTTCACAAGGACTAGATCTAGAAGGAAAAGTAAAATTCCAAATAAAATCCAAGATTATATTTTGCATTAGATAATGCATATACTATTAACTTACTTTCTTTTATTATCGGCCAGCTGAAGAACGGTCGGTGGCAGAGCAAACCTAGAACTTGCAGGAAATGCTCAATTTGTCACAAAAGGTGCGGCCACATGAAGAGGCATGTCTTAAGGGCCTACCTTCCAAATTTTGCCAAATTAAGCAATGGGGAAAGGTCCAATGGATGGGCACGGAAGTGCAAATCATTGATGGAAACAATTGCCTTCGAGTTTCATTGCACTTCCGTGCTCGAGTTGAAACACCTAGTGAAGGCATACCACCTGTTTCCGTTGGCATATTCATATATGCAAAATCAAACACAAGAAGAATTTACCAATCAGGAAAGAGGTTGGCTGGCTTTCCACCAGTGCAGGGCCTATAACAGGAGGTTGAGGCCGCAATATTTCTCCATCACGCCTCCTAATATAGAATCCTCCTTAATGCACTGAAGAATCCTGGCTAATCTCCTTGCTGTTTGCGCCGAATCCTTTTAGGAACATGTGGAAACATTAACATAGGAAAAAACAAAAACAAAATCAGAAGGCTTTCTTACATTATTTTTTTTAATAAGGCAATAATAAAATGAAACAGTATTATAACCTTTAGTTTTAAATCTTCAGCTTTCAGTTTATTTTTAACAAAAATAAGAAGGGGAAGAGTGTTACAAAAATTGATCTCCCTTGATTGCAGTCTCCATTGTCCAGTTACAACTAACAAGTCAACATCGGCAATCTCCGTATAGTAATGAAGATTATTATTCAAAAGAGACAAGCACGTGCACTGGTTTGTTATGAACACACCTGCGTGATCAACCAATCATCAGCTGATGACTGTCTATATCAACCAAACCACATATGAATATCGACACAAGGTAGACATCGATGTTAGACAACACACCGACGATCACATTATAACTTCATACAAGTGAATAACTTTAACTCTTGTATTTAATGTATAATATATCAATATTTATTGATACTATTAGTTTTATTTCAACACGTACATTGCCTCTGCCATATAGCAGTTCTGCTATACCTGTGAGATCACTACCAATGGAGTCCAATACACCAGTTTTACAATTAGATGCTGCTCAGATTTTTCCAGCAAATTCTGGAGAGTAGGTGTCCATCTCCCAACACATATTAGAGAAACTGAAGACGGATATTTTGAGCTTAGCTCTTGGAGTCTTGGCAAAAGGTGTTTGCCATTTTTATGGATTTGTAAAAAAGTCGCTTCAAGAGATTAACCAATTGTTATCATATTCTTTGTTGATAGCTGACTTGCTTGCCTTCCACAGAATTCACAGAGGGTTTCAGGATGGTGTAACCCCAGTTGCAATCCCAACTGTAGGAGTAGGGGCAGAATTCTAAATATTCATTTCGTCGCGGTGGTTCACAGAACCAACAAACTACCTACACAGGTAAACCCAAATAATTTGGCTGATGCCTTGCAAGGCTATGATTTTGAAAAAATTTCTTTTTTATGCTCAGGGTTTTCTCAGTATTTCCTACTCAGGCATATGCTCTGCTGCTGTTTGTCCCAACCATAGATCTTGCATCGAAATTATGAGGGTCCTGTTCAATAAAATGAATGTAGAGTGACATCATAGTAGAGTCATGGGCCCCCTTTTTGCATCCTACTCTGCCTAATCTCCGGTGTTCCCCACTTGGAATTGTTCCTAAAAGTGAGTTGGGGGCCTTTAGGCTGATCCACGATCTTTCCTTTTGGGACTTATATGAATTCATAAATCGGTGAGCTTCATACTGCTGTGCAGTATGATTCGATTGACAATGCTGTGCAGATCATTAGGTCCCTTGGACGAGGGGTATTGCTGACAAAGGCGGATATAAAAGATGCCTATCGCCTTGTGCCCATTTATCCTGATTTGCTGGGTTTCTCTGTTGTGTTTTAAGGACTAACTTTTTACTTTGCAGATATGTGTTTGCCTATCTACTAGTTTTGAGAGATTCAGTTTGGTCCTGCATTGTATTATGGAGACAAAATTTAAGGCGTACGTAAGCCATATGATTGAAGACTTTTTCTTTGCAGGTTCGCCTGGATCTCAATATGTGGATGTATATTGTCGGCACCCCTATCCGTCCATCGGTCCATCAGTCAACATTTGCTTGTAAACGCTCTAAAAACTAGATTCTTTGATGGAATCAAAATTTAGTATGTGTATACATATTCATAAAACGAAAATCAAGTTCAAATTTGAGCTATTTTCGACGGTTAGAAGCAGAGTTATTGCCCTTGCCCCAAAATCTTGAATATTTACCATCTGCATGCTGTGGTGGGTGTATATAGCTGTGGTCCACTATCTTTTATTTCAGGAAGCTCGTCAACATGCTCCTTGGTTAGACGATCAGCCTCAAGTCTTGTGCCAGGAAAACTTGCCTTGTTTAAGTGTGACTGCTCGCATGTTGATTAATCAGGCATTGTCCACCACCTCTCAAGTTGTTTATATTCATGTCTGGAACAAGTTCATTGAGTTTTGTCGTTTGAATTCGTTGTCTCCATCATTTCCAATTACAGAGCTCATAATTGTCAACTTCCTTGCATTTATTTTTTGAGTCTGGGCTTGCCCCAAATTCAATTGCTTTGCATGTGTCGGTTTTTAAGAAGTTTGTGGGCTTTTCCCAGTCGTTGCATCCCTTTTAAGTAAGAAAGTCTGCTGAAGGGGGCCAAGAAGATGCGGAAGTCCACTGAAGCTAGTCTTCCAATTACCCAGAATATTTTAATTTGCTTGCTTCAGGAGGTTCAATATGTTGTTGGCCTTTCTTCCCATTAATGTATGGTTAGAGCAATTTTTTCTTTAGCCTTTGCAGATTTTTTTGCGCCTTGGGGAGTTGGTAGCCAAGTCAGGTTGTGTTAGTGTAAATATTGTACAGATTCAAAATGTTAAGTTTATCACTTTATCATTATAAACATAAGTGTTCAGATGCACCAGTTCAACTGTTGATAAATTGCTTGTGCTACAATTCCCAATAACATGCGCCCCATATTTACTATTTCAGTATTTAACAGGAAGTAACTGGTCCAATCTTTCAAGATGTTCATGGGCACCCAATAACTTACGGTTTTGTGAATACTCAGTTGTCTAGACTTGTTGACTGTATAGGGTTAAATAGATCGCATTATAAATTACACTCCTTTAGAATAGGAGCAGCTACCTCTGCCTTCTTAATAAGCTATTCAGAAGAAACTATTCACACAATTGATCCTTGCAAATGGTATTTCCCTTTCAGGTTCATACTTTGAATTTACATATAAGTGGTTTATTAATATTATAAGTTCATTTACATGGGATGATATGGACCAGACATTCTAATTGTATTCTTTGTATAAAATGATGAATTTGTTTGGCTATTTATTATTCAGGTGTTAAGCCTGAACACAAGTTTGAGGTGTTCCTCAAGTATTTGTTCAACTTTTTTTTAATACACTTTATTGATTATTTTTTTCTATGATATTATCAATAATTAGAGTCGTGTCGCTGATTCGATTTGCCATTTGTGTTGATATTTTTAGCATCATATAATTTATTTTGGTTGTTCCGTTGGTTCAACCTTTAATGAATTACAATATGAGTGATTTTTCCAATCAAGATTTTACTAGTTTCACATCTCAAGACTTGAGTATTGCTGAAAATATTTTGATTAATAAAACTAGTCTTCCAATACTAATCAGGGCTATACGTCTAAGTTTGTTGATCTAATAACAAACGCTTTAAAACCGGAAGTAAAGTCTTCCAATGTAAACAAACATGGCCGTAAAAGGAAAAACGTGGAGAAGATTCCAGCTCCAAATATGAAGTCTTTAAGTAGTTCTCGTATGGGAACAAATCCAACGTGTACAATCACTTCGGCCTCAATTAATAATACTGATGATTTTTCTGATGTTTTCGTTAATCCGAATTCAATAAATAGGACCACAGGTCGTAAATTAGATGATACCACGAACGGTGGTGGGAAGGTTAACAGTTTACAAATTGATAAAGAACAAATTAACAGAAACGAACTAGCTGATTTAAAGAATCAATTTGCATATTTAACATCTATTGATCTGGTAGATCCTCAAGAAATGTATGATAAGTTTCTTGAGGAAACCCCTGAGGTTCAGGAGGATGACTTTAATATCCCTAAGATATTCCAAGGGAATGATACTTTTGGTAATCCAGTCTCTGATAATCTTGTTAAATTAGTTTCTGTTGCCACTACTAAGAAAGTAGAAGTTTCTAAATTAACATCCAAAATACTCTATACCAGAAAATTATAAATGTTTGGTCCCACCACTCGTGGATGGAGACATCTGGAATATTTTACCAAAGACTGCCCAATCTCAGGATTTGTCTCTTCAAGATGTCCAAAACTTGATAAGCATTGGTATTGCCCCTCTTCTGTCAATCTTGGCATCTAAGGATCGCACCATTGATGAGAACAGTCAAGTTGCTTTAATTGAACCTTGTGATCCCACACCAGACCAATTTTTTCGAACTTGTTTTTAATACCCAAAAAGAATGGTACCTTGAGACCTGTTATCAATCTTAAAAAGTTAAATGATTTTGTATCTTGTGACCATTTTAAGCGGGGAAACTTTGTCGGTTGCTCTGAAATCTATTACTAAGAACAGCTTTTTAACATCAATAGATCTTTGTGATGCCTATTTTTCCATTGGAATTAATCCAAGTGATAGGAAGTACTTATGTTTTGTTTGGCGTAATGTCATTTATCATTTCAAATGTTTGCCATTTGGTATTTCATCAGCACCTTGAGTGTTCACAAAAGATTTGAAACCAGTTTTTTCTTTCTTGAGAAAGCAATCAATTATATGCTGTTACGTTATAGATGATTCACTTTTCTCATCTTCAACTATTGAAGAGACAAGGTCTAACACATGTAAGGCTATAGATTTGTTTCATAGTCTTGGATTTGAAGTCAATTTTGAAAAATTAAATTAAAACCATCTAAAGAATTAGTCTTTCTTGGTTTTATTATAAACACAGAATCATATAAAGTTTTGATGACTCAGGATAAGTTAGATAAGATTGTCTCTTCAGCTAGAAATGTATTATCTTCTGCTTTCACTGTAAGATATTTAGTCTCTTTTATTGGTCTTTGCTCTTTTAGTAGAACTGCAATCCGACCTGCCTCATTTTATATACACTATTTAGACAAAGGCAAAACAAGACAGCTTTAACAATCCAACCTTGACTACGATACTGTTGCGAAACTTGACTCTTATATGATCCAGGAGCTTTATTGGTGGATTGACAAATGCAATCTTTTCAATGGGAATCATATTCAGCCCCCACCAGTGGATGAGATGGTAACCACTGATGTATCTGAAGTGGGTTGGGGATCTCACTTAAATAATTTTCAGACAAATTCTTTATGGCTTCCAAGTGAACAAGGAAATCACATTAATTTCTTAGAACTGTTGGCAGTGTTTAAGGCTTTGGAAAGTCTTTGTTCTGAACTCCATGATATACACATCTGTATACAATCTGATAATTCTGTTGCTATTGCTTATATCAACAATCTTGGAGGTGCAATAAATTCAATACATGAATTGTCCAAATCTATTTGGTTATGGTGTTCTAGACGGAATATATATTTGTCTGCTAAGCATATCCAGGGTAAATTCAACCTGGAGGCTGATTTTTTATCAAGAAATTTTTCGAATTCCACTGAGTGGATGCTCCATGAGAATAGATTTAATAAGATTTGTAACTATTTTGGTACTTCGTATAGAGATTTATTTGCATCCTCCTTAAATTATCAGATTGAACCTTATGTTTCTTGGTATCCAGATCCTTACTGTGTAGCTTGTGATGCCTTCACCATTTCTTGGAGTAATTATTATCCTTACATTTTTGCTCCTTTCAGTTTAATACCACGGATCCTTAACAAGATTATGTTGGACAAGGTGTCTTGGGCAATAATGGTTGTTCCAGCTTGGTCAACCCAGGTATGGTATCCTCTACTTTTAAACCTTTTGGTTGATTACCCACTTCTTTTGCCCAAGAGAAGAGATTTATTGAAGTTAGTCCACAGTGGTGCGTTGCATCCATTGAAAGGCAATTCCCTCAGGTTGACCGTTTGTCTTCTATCAGGACAAACATTCAGAGTAAAGGCAATTCAAAAGAGTCTGCAGAACTCATCCTTAACTCATGGGGACCTAAAACAAACAAGCAATATCAGTTGGCTTGGAAGAGATGGAATCTTTGGTGTGTGTGCAAGGGAAAATCAATCCCTTATTTCCATCTATAGAGAATTTGTTAAATTTTCTTGGGGATTTGTACAAATCTAATTGCTCATATAGTTTTATAAATGCAACACGTTCAAGTATAGTTCAGACGTTGGTAACTGTAGGGAATTCCCATCTAAAAGGCCATCCTTTACTTACTCGTTTCATGAAAGGTGTTTTTGTACAAAAACCTCCTAAGCCACGCTACTTGGCAACATGGGATATATCTATTTTATTATGATATTTAAGTTTTTTGTATCCGTTGCTTACAATTAAAGCAGTTTATCTGTTGTCATTGTCAACTGCCCAACGTTGTCAAACATTAGCATCTTTCTCTTTAGATTCTGTGAAAGATCTCAACATCGAGTATATTAAAAACATCTCGTCCTTCACGACCTCTATATAGTGTCAACATAAATAATTATAAAAATTACGTACATATATTTCAACAACAGAGAGTAAACGTAAAACACAAAGTCTATTTCTTTTTTCAATAAAAAAGCTGTATGTGCCTCTACTATTTCCAGGTGGATTAAAGAAGCTTTCATTTCTTCTGGCATCAATACAGATATTTTTAAACCACATTCCTTAAGAGGTGCTGCCTCGTCTGTTGCTAACTTAGCAGGACTTTCTATTTCAGAAATACTAAACAGCTGATTGGAGGTCAGAGAAGACTTTTGCTGACTTCTATAACAGAGATATTCTGCCTTCCTTTTCAGATGTTGTGTTGAATAAATTATAAACATTTTCAGGATTTTTAATCTTTTTTAATTCTTGTTGTCAACCTCTTTAAATTATGCAATATTAATCCGAAATGCCCAAAGGGCATAGATGGAATATAATTTAACTCTCAGCCGAGTGCCCAAAGGGCTCGAAGGATGAGAGAAATCATATGAATATATAGCCTGAGGGCTTGAGGATTACCGAAGTCCCTCCCAGGTTATATGTTTATATAATTTAAGGTTGACAACGTGCCTGGTTTTAAATAGACACTGACAACAGGTTGCTGGGCCTGACATCAACTATGATCACGTGACATAGGTCAGGGTTCATGGTTTTCTTTTTACTTTAAACATGAGAGAGACGGGAGAGTAAAATTGCTCGAAAATAGTGGTTAAATTCACGAAAACCTTGTACAGTTGAACTTGCTTGCACAGAATAAAAATGGCGGAAGAAGGTGCAAAATCTAAAACTGAATATGATTTAGCTGCCAGGCTACCACCACAGCCATCGGTTATCAACTCTAAAAATAGTAACACAGTTGGTTTGTCAGGCGAATCTCCACAAAGAATCACCGATTCAAACAACGAAAGTTCAAAAATTGTGTATTTCAAAAACAGAGTTTGAAGGAATTAAAGAATTTCATAACAGAAAATTTTCGAAAGGAATCGGAATTTTCACGACAGTCAAAAATTGGTCTACCTTATGGAAGTAAACAAACTGCCCAGAAATCAGATGACTATGATAACTTTACAAGGAAACGTAAGCTTGAACATGTGATTTCTGATTCTGATTCGGAGGAAGAAGATATTATCCCTTCACCTCAGATACCTAGACATATTACCGGTACGGTAAATAATGATGTTATAGATCAAATTGATCAACTATTAGCACAAGACCCTATCATGGGAGATAACTCAAATAATGACACCGATCATGATCAGGACATGGAAATGTTCGAATCTGCTTTAGAACAGGAATACACGATTAAAAACGTGGAAGGAGCAAAAGTCAATGACAAAATAATTGGCATCGTAAATCAGTTATTCGTTAAAGTACTGCCAGAAGAAAAGCTCAAGGTTATTTTTTACAAGTACCCCGAACCTGCAAATATGAATGTGGTCATGCCATTGGTAAATAAAGAAATTTGGGGTGCCTTAAGCAGTACCACGAAAACTGCTGATCTCAGAAACCAGAGAATTCATATGAAAATCACTAAATCTTCTTATTCTCTTGCGGAATTGATGAGTTTTCTAATGGAGAGTAAGAGGAAGGCAAAGATTTCTCCTGAGGACATCTCAAAAGCTATTAGAATGGCTATGGATGCAATAACTCTACTAGCTCAGGCAAACAGAGAATTTGTCCAGCGAAGAAAGGATAGTATCTCATCCTGCAAAGCTATTGTGTAATCCCTCTTCAACTGGAGAGTGGGATTGTTCTCAACTCTTGTTTGGAGAAGATTTGGTGAAGACTATAAAGGACTTAAAAGAAGCCAGCAGTGTTACACAACAATCTACCTATACTCCAAACAGAAATCCTTACAATAGTTTTAAAGGAAGTTCTAAGCAATCCAATGCAAAAGTTTCCCAAAGTTTCAAGAAATCTGGCCAAACAAGACAAACCATGGAAACCCATCAGGGAAAAGAATCATACTCAAACCAAGAAGTAGATAATACTGATGAGGACTTGGTGAGTGAAATAAATACATACTACAATCATCTTGGCGAAATCAGCTTTGTCACAATACCGAGTTTATATCAACAAGTGGTTCGAGTACTGTAGTGAAAGGAAATTGGATGCCTTTCATCCATCTGTAGAGACTGTCATTGAATACCTTACTGTTTTATTTAATTCTGGATTACAATATAGTGGTATAAACTCAGCTCGTAGTGCGTTAGCATCTTTTTTAACTATTAACAATAAGCCTGTAGATTCGAATCCAATTGTCATTCGATTTCTTAAAGGTGTATTCAACATTAGACCAGCTTTACCGAGAAATAATCTCTCATGGGATATTAATTTTGTGCTTTCATATTTAAAAATGCTATCACCTGTGAAGAAAATATCGTTGAAACTGTTAACTTTTAAGTTAGTTATGTTATTTGCATTATTGTCAGGAAGTCGTATTCAGACTTTACAGTGTTTGGATATAAGGAATATCCATGTCACAAAATCTTCAGTTCAGTTTGTAATAAGTGAAAAATTAAAGCAGACTCGTCCTGGATTTCACCAAGAACCAATAACTATTAGAGGCTTTGCTCCAGATAGGAGATTGTGTATTATTACAGTTCTTGAGGAGTATATTAATAGAACAAAAGATATTCGTTCTTCAAATCAGTTATTTTTGAGTTTTGTCAAACCATGTAAATCTGTCAGCAAAGATACCATTTCTCGATGGATTAAGACTGTCTTATCATCTGCAGGAATTGATGTGAATAAGTTTGTTCCATATAGTACTAGGTCAGCATCAACTAGTGCAGCTCATAGAGCAAGTGTTCCAATGGAATCTATGCTTAGAACTGCGGGTTGGTCTAAGGATTCTACTTTTAGAAAATATTATAAAAAACCTCTATCCAATGAATGTATTTATAGTCTCAAGATAATAGACTCTAATTGTTAGCTTTTATTTAAATATATTTGTGTTTAAATATTTAAAGATATAAATGATATGTTAAGAGTACATGTTTGTGTTAATTATTATGAATCTTGTCTTAAAAGGTTGAAAGACAATAGATGATGATGTGTTTGATTCCAACTTTAAAATCTCATGGGACCTTTAACCCTTTGTCAATCAACAAAGCAGAATTTATAAAAATAATTAAACGAGACTTACCTGTAAGATGAAGTTTGATTATAATTCTGCTTTGCTGTTGACTAGGTTAGAGGTAACATGCCCACCCTTTTGAAATGGTTTGTGGAAAATGTCTAACTTTTTCATCCCACCCTGGGTCTTTTTTGAATCATTATTGGTAATCAAACACAGGTTGACAATTGAAGTAGTAGCTGCGCGCGCATCTCATGTTACCTCTAACCCAGTCGACAACAAAGCAGAATTATTATCAAACTTCACCTTACAGGTAAGTCTTGTTTAATTTTTAAATTAATACAATATATCAATCCTTACAAAATTGAATACTAAGAAAATTCTCATATTGATTGAATCATTTTCTTTCCTCATATCTAATTTAACAAGTGGTTGCCTTATAAGATACGCCCACTTTCCTGATACATTTTCAGTATATCAAGGTGACCGTATATCAAGGGCAGTCACCAATCTGTGTCAAATCATACCAAAAATCTAATTTGTGCAAGATATTGTTGATTTAAACAAACACACATTATTTAATAAAACTCTGACATAAACTGTCACCTCGATCACCAACAAATTTTGATGAGTTTTTACTAAGTCAAGGGAAATGACTCAAATTCAGTTGATCAAAAAATTGTCAAATTCAATCTTGACTAAGATCTCATCATTATAAATGATCATATCAAATTTCATTTAAATAGGATGAAAACTGTTCTCTCTATTGTGTTCACAAACAAATGTTGACGCGTTCTTCATAAATCAAGGGCAATAACTCAAAAACCGTTCAACGAATAATCGTGAATATAAAACTTGTCCAAGATCTCATCAATATTAATGATCACACCAAATTTCAATCAAAATCAGATGAAAACTGTAGTCTCTAGCCCGTTCACAAGCCAATTGTGGACTGACGGAAGAACAGGGGTGACGACAATATACGTCCACATTATAATGTGGGCGTATAAAAACTGTTATTATAGATTCTTTTACACTAGGCCCCAATTAATAAAGAAAAGTAATAAATAAATGATCAACATCTGACAAAAGCATAGAGCAGAGGTCACACTTGCATTCTGTGATCTGGGCCAGGTCCACTTTAAACGGAAATAAGCATGCGCTCTCTAATTAAAAAGATTACAAAAGGTCTACGAGGAGTCAAAATCGCGGACAATAACAATAATTTTCGATTGATCTGGTCTATGCTTTCGAAAAACTCCCACTTCTTTAGATCACGACTGGATCTATTATTATGGTCGAGAATATCTCCTGGCACTGTTTACCAGTCCTCCGAGAGTAACCTTTCTTGGCCAGAAGATCTGAGAGATTATCATACATCTTGTGGTTTTGATGAATACTGTCCAACTGGGACTGTATTCGTTCATCTCTCCACAAGGTGATGAAATCTCTCGTTTCTTCTGTCGTCCACACTGTACCTCTGACGGAGGACATTTTATTTATTTGTAGATATATAATGGCCGCCGATAAGGAAGTTGTAAACCCTGCATATGCGCAGAAGAATTTTTAAACGGAGCCAGGCTCGCATTCGTTTTATACTAGTAAAATTGAAGTGGGCCAGGCACCGATTAAATTGGCTCGCTTTATTCCATTTACACTAGAAAAATTTAAGTGGACCAGGCACCAATCAGGGCCTGGCTTACTTTATCGGAGCCGAGTGTAAAGGGGGTATTAGTGAGTAACTACTAGCTACTGAAGTATCAATCAGTACTTCAGAACAATTCCAAATCAACATTTATAATGTGATTACTTCTTGGTTGCGTTATTGAAGTATAATTAAATGTAATGTTTATATCAAGGAGTCATTAACACTCATCATCTCAATATATAAGTATACAATATATTATTCTATACCTGATATGAAATTAAGAATTATCACATGTTTTTTGATGCCTTGTTATCATCAATTGTTTATTTTGGTTTCCCCTCATCCTCTTTCTTACTATTTTACTTGTATATTGTTTGTTTTTTTGTTATTTTTTGTTTTGTTTTTTTATAGGCCATTTTTTAGTAAAATTATGGGGTAAAGCCAAGTAGATAGTGGGTTTTACAATTTAATAATTAACTGTAATTAAATGACATTATCCTTCAGTTTGTGTTTGTATTATTTGGGGAGTAAGAGGGGACACAAATATAAATGTCTATTTGTGGTAGATGAGTTGTTTTTATATACTATGTACTGTGATACATTCTAGATTAAAAAACATTTTCATTTATCAAGTGAGCAGACATTTCTGCTGACAGAGTTAATTTTACTGGGGTTTTGTGATGTTAACAAAAAAGCAAATATATCTACCTGATCAGAACACAAACTCAGTTAAAGAGTTGATGTTCCTTTGTAACAAGGTAAAACAAAAAGAGCTACATGAACCATTTTCAATTAGTCAATTAGTTTGCAATGAAAAAAATTTTATCACCTTGGTATATAGCCTCAACCTGTTTGTTTTCTAAAAATAATGCCTGAAACTCTCATTTTGACTTTAGCATAATTTACAGCTGATTTGAAGGCTTAGTTTAAATTTTATTAAAAACAAGAACCAGAACCAGAATTACTTGTGTATGCTATTAAGTGGTAAGAAGCAATAATATAGACAGACTGACACGTAATAAATGAACTTACCTGTGAGCAAATGAAATAACAACCTTTTGTGCACACTGCCAAATATTGCCATGAAATGCATCATGTCCACTAACTGTTCTATACCAGGTTTTAATATAATCTCTTACAGTATACTCCAAAACCTGAATATATAGATAAACATAGATATATAAAATAGTTAATGTACATTCAAAAGAAACAATATATATTGATAATAATGATAATAATGCATTCATATAGCGCCTATTTTCTAGAAAGTTCTACTCAATGGCGCTGAGTTGCTGTGTCATATCTGGTATTCACTAGTGAATAAGTGTGTCTTAAGACGAGTTTTGAATATGTCCACTGACTTTACATCTTTAACATGTTTTGGTAGGTTGTTCCATAGCACAGGTGCTGCAACTGAAAAAGCATGATTACCAGAGTAAGCTCGCAAAGGTTTAGGCACAAGAAGATTGTTTCTAGTTGTTGAACGTGTACACAGACCTCCTTTTTTAATTTCTATCAAATCACTTGGATAGATTGGGGCAAGTCCCTGTATACACTTGTATGTGAGGAGAAGTATTTTGTAATGAATTCGTCTGTTTATTGGAAGTCAATGAAGAGTCTGTAGGACTGGTGTTATATGATCATATGCTCTTGTTTTAGTAATGAGTCTTGCAGCGGTATTTTATATTTTTTTGCAAACTTCGGAGACTGGATGCTGGTAGACCATAAAGTAGAGAGTTGCAATAGTCCAAACGTGAGGTGATCAGGGAGTTCACTAGTAGCTTAGTTGAGTCAGTATTAAGATATTTTCTAATTCTATCGATTTGGAAAAGCTGAAAATGACATGATTTTGATATGGCAGCAATATGTTTTGTCATGTCCATAGAGTCATTGAAGATGACACCCAGATTTCGTACTGATGAAACAGGTTTGATTTCTTCAGATCCAACAGAAATATTGGTTGACGCAATTGTTGATAAACAGTTTTAGACCCAATTGTAATAGATTCTGTTTTGTCTGAGTTCAATTTTAAAAAGTTATCAAGAATACATAATCTTATGCTGTCAATATAGCATTCAAGCTATGTCTGTTTTATTGGAATGTCACACGGTGGTCCAACTAGATAGAGTTGGGTGTCGTCGGCAAAAAGGTGATAATCAACACAATGTTCACTAATAATGTCGCCCAAAGGAGTAGTATATGCTGTAAAAAGAACAGGTCCCAAGACAGAGCCCTGTGGAACTCCAAATTGTATATAAGCCGCTTTTGACTTATTACTCCTCACATGATTTTGTTGGAGCTGCCCAGATGATTTTCTCTAGTTGAGTTTGGGACACTGGATAAAACTTAAGTCTGATTTTTCAGGACTAACAACAGGCTGCTCTCTCGCACTCACAGGAAATTGTTCTCTAATTGCAGCTATTTTATTAATGAAGTACTCAGAGAAGACTTCTGGCAATTCTTCTACCTTGAAACAATTTGGGTAATTATCACTTGAGGCTTCTTTTGTTAAATTATTGAAGGTGTTATAGAGAGTCTTGGAGTTGTTTCACTGAGTCACAAGATCATGAAGATATTGAATCTTGGCAGTCCTGATAGCATAAGAATAATGGTTACGCTTGTTTTTGAAAATTTCATGATGTATTTCCAGTTTTGATTTACGCCAAGCATTTTCAGCAGATCGACATTCATGTTTTGATAAAAGAAAAGCATCATTGAACCATTTACTAGAAGGTCTGATGGTCACAGA